TACATCGTACGCCTGTATGCCATTATTTTTTTGTTGTTTGTCAATCTTTGACACATGTTTTTCACTTTTTAGTTAGCAATGCAGCAAATCCCTTACATCTACAACAAAAAAAAGTTATGTCGTTCTCCTTTACAAGTATATATGAAAGTATCTACTTAATTACCATATATTTAATCCAATGGTTATTAGTATTTTCTATTTTATGCATTATACTCACAGCATGATGCTTAGGAAAAATAATAAGGTTACAACTAAACAAATAGTTATTTTGTTAAAAATTTATTTTCAACATGAAATATGTACATTAACACATTTGTTATATATAAAAAAATTTAAAATTGTAAAATTGATCATTGTCTAAATTTATCTTGTTATTTGTGAAAAATATCCAATCCAATATAACTTGCATTCTTTTATTATATGAAAGAGTTAACTTCGTTACTTTTTTATTGTAATATGCAATTTTTATCTAGAATTATCTTTACTTTAAGTATGTAGTACAAATTAAGATATTTATGTTAAATTGTTGAGATTGTTTACTGTATACATAATCGTATGATTAACTTAGTTTATAAAGTGAACTTTGGACCTATTACTTTAAAATGAAATAAACAATTTTACTTTAAATTTTTTAGCCTTCTAATCTCTCATCTAGATTGCTTTAATGAATTATTGTAACAGATTACTAATTACTTCCGGATAACATTTTCCTTACATACAAAAAATAAAAGTACATTCTTTTACAATTTAAATTCCTTGCTTAAAGAATTGCTATAAATAGTTAGAAAAAATAAAATTTTTCTTATTGTGTTTTTGCCTAAGACAAAGCTACTAAATAACATTGCCATTAAAATTTCTTACATTGTTACTCTTACTTTGGTACTTAATTTTATTCTACCATTCATTTGAAAAAAACTAAAAGACTTTATGCTTTTGTGCAAGTGTATGAAACTTGATTAAAATTATAAGCTTTATGGATCCATGGCTCTATTGATAATTTGATTAGAGATGAAAAATAATTTATTTGTGTAAAAGTTGATATTGTAATGTTATATGTTTTTAAATCTGATAATGAATGTATCTTGCTTTTAAAAAATATACTATGCTAATGAATGTTTCATGTTTGCCAAATCTCATAGTTTGCATAGATCTTCCTTTTAAAAAATATACTAGTATTTTTTTTAATTTTTGCAAAACCTTATAGTTTTGATTCTTAAACTTGAAAAAAATGAAAAAGGTTAAAAGTATGGGATAGAAATAAATGGTTAATAAGAAAGAAAAATGAGAAAGAGAAAGAGGATGACATAATAAGGGAAAGAAAGAATGAATCCTTTTCTTGGATCGGGCTATTCATTCTATTATGGATATCGACATACCAAGGTGGGATCTGATCTAGGTTGTTGAGATCAGATAATTTTTTTTCATTATTAAATTTTTTTTTCAAATTTATCTAATTTATATTGTAATCTGATTGTTGGATTTATCATATTCAGATCGTTTTGGTTATTTTTGGCAAAAAAAGTATAATTTCTAGGTAATTTTTTTTTAGTTTTAAGTTTTCTGTTTCTTTGCAATTGTTGCAATATCAATAATGTTTATAGAGTTTGAGCCATGCAAAGAACTGTTCATTCAACATGCATAAACTTTTGGAATTACTTTTGGTATATTTTTTTTACGTAACAATATATAAAAACAAGGAGTTGATTTTGGGAAATTGTGGGTAAAAAAAGAGGTAATGCACCTTATCATCATGATTCTGTTGCTACTAGGTGGGGTGTGCATCACTACAACAGCTACATAGCTAGCTAGCTAGCTATAGCTATATCTCACTACCACGTAATTTTCCACCTCCACACCACCAATATAAAATCACATTTTTTCCTCTCTAATCTTTCTCATTTTTCAGTAAAGTCATGACGCTGATCATCACATCTTTCTCTTTTACTATCAATTAGACAAATTAAAACATCAACCATGGTAGCTCTTTGGTTTAAGACTTTTCTTCTAGTGTTGTTGTTTCTCCTCATCACGCATTTCTTTTATGGTAATTAAAATAATACTTTAATCAAGTGTTCATTAATCTCATATATATTAATTGATCATATATATATACATTTTGAATCATTTTTTAGGGTAGTTATTGATAACAAGCATGGTTGAGGGCTTTCAGGGTGGCATGCAGGCCAAATACTCATCACTTGAACAAGTATACTCTGCATTAATCCTTTTCATAAAAAAAAAGTCAAAAGTAATTAAGAGATGGGAAACCAAATAAACAAAGGGTTTATGGATAAACCATAATACAAAAGATGGAAGAAGATGCGGAAAGAACATGAAAAATAAGGGGAAAAAAGTCAAAACATTTATGGCACAATTCAAAGACCAATGGATGCTACATTGTATCTTATCGCTGTAAGAAAACCTTACACGTTGGGATGATTAGGTTTCATGAGAACAATTCTTGTCTTTGAATCAATCTTGACATTAAACTTTGAGTTTTAGATAAGATTCACAATCCATCTCTCAGCTTCCTCATAACTTAAATTCAACTTCTCAACAAGCACCCTTGGAACACATGAAAAATAAGTTAAAGTTGCCTTAAAATTAAAAAAAAAAAAAACAACTAGAAGTAGCCAACATATATAAGTTAAAAAAATCATTTAGCTAAATCTCATAAGTGTTATATGCTTTCAATGAGATTGCTAAAATATCACTTCACATGAAAAATTTGAGATGGCAAATGGAAGTAACAAATGTTGAATCCAAATAATCAACACAATAAGTAATACTATAACAGGGTATATGTTTCTCTTTCTATTTTTTTCATTTTCAATTGTTTTTTTTTTAATGAATAACTAAAAATAAATTATCATTCTATATGATTAAAGAATGATTATTTAGTTTTATAATTTAGTTGCTTGCTTAAAGATTATGGATGGATGCTTTAGTTTTCCTTTTCCATTTATTATATTGTATCTTTGATTGGTGTAAACATAGAAAAATTTCTTTAGAAATGTTTCCAGGTTGTTTATGTATCCTTTTTTCAATTTGTACTTTTTTTTCTCCTTAATTGCAGTTACTTTTTTACTTAAAATTTTTATTTTTATATATCTGATCTATTGTGTTGCTTTTAAATCTACCTTCTTATTTATTGAATTTTATTGAGTTTGTTGAATTTAATGAAAATTTTAACTTGACTATGGCTGTATTTGCAAGTTACAATTTTGATATTTTCTATGTTGTTGGTCTAATTGTGAACAAACAAGGTTGAACTTCAAGATTCTTAAGTGATTGTGGCTTTAGATGCATTTACTCATTTCAAACATATGCTACTACTAATGAATCCTTATTTTTTGAAAGAAACACGACAAGCAACCTTTTTAAACAACCGGTGCAAATTCTACAAAAAGGAAAAAATGGTATTTCTTTAAGATGCGTAATCTTTATTTACATTTGAGTCATCCTTATTTGGATAAAAATCTTAAAAATTTTTTCACAGGGAGTTGCAAATGCTGTTACTTTGGCACAGAAGTATGGGATTGACATTACTATTGTGGGTATATGGATTCCTCTATCCATACCATTTTGCATATATTGTTATAGAACATATTTAAAACAAGATTTCAAGAACTAAGAACTTTATGTACATTGCAATTATTGATGAAAAATAGGCGATCCCAAAACGTGAAACTCAACTGGCTAGCATTTGTTGGCACCTCTCTAAAGGTATGTATTCTATGTAATCTTAAATTTTGTAACAAACAAGTATAGAAAATTCAAAATTAATCTTATAATAGTTTGATACTACTATTGCTAACAGCCATTGGCTAAAGCGAATGAAAAATTTATCATGCATAGTATTGCATACATGTTTTAATAGAGAAATGGTCCATGGAGCATTTTTTTTTTCTTGCTTTCTTGGAATGTTCTTAAAAAATTAGATGCATAGGCATTTGGTAATCTATTTGACCAAATTCTTTGTGTATCACATGGAAGTGCTTAAATGTTTTTTTGATTTGTAAGTCAAAGTTCAATTATACATGAAACTAAGGTGATACAATGTTAGTTCCCATTTTCATTTTTTCTTTAAATGTTTTTTCTAACCAGGTGTTAATTGATGTTACTTTAGATTCTGACAATAATTAGCCTAAAAGATTATAAGAACATGTTACTTTCCATTGTAAAGAGTCATGATGTCTCTTGTTCTCTTTTGATAATATAAAAGAGGTGTAGTTCATCACTTCTTAATTTAGGAACTATTAGATTGGTAAGATTGTTATGACAATGAAAGTTTAAAATGGTATATATCTTTAAAAGAAAGCAACATGTATAGGAATGTAATTAATCGAATTCGAGCTAATACAATATTAAGTTTGAGCTCGACTCGAAATTCGAAGTTTGAAACTCGATTCAAACTTGATCGAGTTTTATCTTTTAAGCTCAAGCTTGACATAAAAATCAAGCTACTAAAACTCACTCAATTAAGCTCAATAAACATGAAAAAATAAACTTAATTATTATATTTGACAAAAACTCATTTATTTGTGTTTAAGCTCGTATTTAAGTTTGAGATATTTTATTAATTAAAAAAATTAAAAAATTAAAATTTGATTAAACTTATAAACTACTTAAACCGAATATAAGAATACTCGAACTTAATTTGATCAATTAGTTAAACTATTTAAGCTCGAGCTTGATTTGATAATAATCAAATTAAATTTAAATTTTATTATAATCGAATTCGGGTAATTTATGATTATTAATGTATCGTTTACACCTATAAGTATAACCTTTATCTATAAAGATATTTTTTTTTTGTTGTTTATATTATTTGAATATGTTAATATTCTAATGTGCCTTACATAATTTTTTTTGGTACGATGACAACTAATTAATTGCACAATTATTTGTTGATGTCGATAAAAATAATAATGAATGTTAAATATATAATGACAGCATATTTTTTTAGCCTCGCATCAACGCATGGACACCGGCTTTTTGCTAGTCCCTTTTATAGGTAGTGATATAAAATTCATTTTCTTTACTTTTCAATTCCAATCAGCAACCTAACATTATTCTCTCTCTTTGGACCTAAAGCAAAGTTAGACTTTGATACACATTATTCATATTCTCTCCCCAAGCCAAAGTTTCATTCGGTCATTCTCTCCTCTTATAGGCTCTTGTCTTGCTATCTTCTCTAAAATGGCTTCAAACACCGCAGAAACAGCCCGTGTGTTCTTCCCTGCGTTTCCTATGTTCCGAGTTTACAAAGACGGACGCATCGAGAGACTCCGTCCAACAGAAACCGTACCTCCTTCCAATGACCCTCAGACTGGTGTTCAATCCAAGGACACCTCATCAGAATCATGTCTACCGGCTCGCCTTTTTCTCCCCAAAATCACAGATCCTACAGCAAAAATCCCTCTCGTCATCTACATCCATGGTGGCGCGTTTTGCATTGAGTCTCCTTTCTCTCCTACTTACCATAACTATCTCACTTCCCTAGCCAACAGAGCAAATGTAATGGTGGTTTCCGTCCAGTACAGAAAAGCCCCAGAACACCTTCTCCCTGTTGCATATGATGATGCATGGGCAACAGTAAAGTGGGTAGCTTCACATGTTAACAGGGATGGTCCTGAGCCCTGGCTGAATGATCACGCTGATTTTGAGAGAGTGTTCTTGGCCGGTGATAGTGCCGGGGCTAATATTGCACATAATATGATGATGAAGACCGGAATCGATGGTCTGATTGGCGTCAAAATCGTTGGTCTGCTTTTGATGAATCCGTTTTTCATGAACAATGAACCTGACGAGCTGATAGAGTTCATTTTTCCTTCAAGCAGCCTTTGCGATGACCCTAGGATGAACCCAGCTAGCGCCATCAAGGATCTAGCCGGCCTGGCGTGCAGCAGGGTGCTGGTCTGTGCTTCAGAGAAAGATTTCTTGAGGGACAGGGCCATATCTTACTACGAAGCAGTACGAAAGAGTGGGTGGGAAGGGGTGATAGACATTTTCGAGACTCCAGGAGAGGGTCATGTGTTTCACTTGTCTAACCCATCTTGTCAGAAGGCTGTGGATTTGATGAATCAAGTTTCTTCGTTCCTGAACCGTTGATGCCTCCTGATATCCAATTTAGAATAAGATAACACCTAAATGTCTATTACTTGTCTAATAATTAATTAGAGGCATGAGCTGTTTTTCCTTTTTCTTGTGTATGACTTCACCGACACAAGGATCTAGCCGGCCTGGCGTGCAGCAGGGTGCTGGTCTGTGCTTCAGAGAAAGATTTCTTGAGGGACAGGGCCATATCTTACTACGAAGCAGTACGAAAGAGTGGGTGGGAAGGGGTGATAGACATTTTCGAGACTCCAGGAGAGGGTCATGTGTTTCACATGTCTACCCATCTTGTCAGAAGGCTGTGGATTTGATGAATCAAGTTTCTTCGTTCCTGAACCGTTGATGCTTCCTGATATCAATTTAGAATAAATAACACCTAAATGTCTATTACTTGTCTAATAATTAATTAGAGGCATGAGCTGTTTTTCCTTTTCTTGTGTATGACTTCACCGACACAAGGATCTAGCCGGCCTGGCGTGCAGCAGGGTGCTGGTCGTGCTTCAGAGAAAGATTTCTTGAGGGACAGGGCCATATCTTACTACGAAGCAGTACGAAAGAGTGGGTGGGAAGGGGTGATAGACATTTTCGAGACTCCAGGAGAGGGTCATGTGTTTCACATGTCTACCCATCTTGTCAGAAGGCTGTGGATTTGATGAATCAAGTTACTTCGTTCCTGAACCGTTGATGCCTCCTGATATCCAATTTAGAATAAGATAACACCTAAATGTCTATTACTTGTCTAATAATTAATTAGAGGAATGAGCTGTTTTTCCTTTTTCTTGTGTATGACTTCACCGACACAATTTACTTGAAGAAATGTCCGTCACCCTATGTTGTGAAATTTAGTAGATTTAAATTTTTAATATTAATATTTATAATCTATTTATTTTTAGATTATAATTTTTTATATAAAAAATGTTATTATTAGTACCATCTCAATAATTTTTACTTTATCATAAGAATTATAATGCATTTTTAAATATATTTTTATTTAATATTACTTTAAATTATTTTTAATTAAATTTTATTTATCTTCTTATTGAATTTCAGTTACATTTACTTAAATATATATTTTAGACCTTAAATATACTAAATTGAATTAGTTTTTTTTACTAGCAATAACTTTTCATGGCTTGACAATCATTAGTAAATTGCCCAATATACGGACAAATCATAACTGGTCCACGGGCCAGTACCCAGGGGCTTACTGCTTTAGCCTAATATCACCCATATTTAGTGGTTCGGGCATTGAAACAAATGGGCTTCCGCTGTCGGGCCCGAGACGTGGTGTGTTTGTGCCTCCTTCATGCCCAAGTGTTCATCAATAGGAGAACGATAACATAAACACTTATAAAAAGAAATAATAAAACCACGCTCCATTTTCATTCCGAGGTAGTTGGATGTTTCGGTTGGTTAGATTAATTTTTAAATTAAATTATTTTATTTTATTTTCAAAATTAAATCAATTTTTTAAAATTAATCTGATTAGTATGATTAATTTTTAATTAATTAAATAATAAAATATATTAAATTAAATTAAATTTTAATTTTTTAATTTTTTAATTTTTTTCATACATGATATAATTAATTAAAATCATTTTAATAAAAATATTTAAATATTAAATTTAAAATTTTAATAATTTAAAATGAAATAAATAAATTTCATAATATTTTAATTGAATTAATTAAAATTTTTTATTATTTTTAATAATTAATTAAAATTAATTTAATAATTAATTAATTAAATTAAATCAATTTGACAGATTAATTCGATTATAAATACTCCTACAAAAACGTGCTACACTGATCATTTCTAAAGTTCAAAATTTTTTTAATTTCTTATTCTTTTACTAAGTATTATCATAATTGCATCGAATTGATCAGTAGAACCAGAAATCAATAATTAGTTCGATTTTAAAATTAATAAAACTGAATGTACATAAAATTTGATTCGAATTTAATCATAGTTTGACTAATTTTTATTATTTAAAAGTATTTTGTAAATGATAGTTTTTTATTTGTGGGCAAGAATTAACCAAACAGTTCAGAGTATTGAAGCAACCTGGTAATATATTTATTTCTCCCCCAGGGCAGGGTTTATCGTCATCTCCCCAAAAAAACAAAAAGAAAGCAATGGAGAGAACGGCACTTCTTCGCTCTGTCTCCTGCTCCTCTCTCGCTTGCAACAAATTCATTTTCTCCGCTCCCAAGCACTCTCGGTCTTTTCTATCCAAATCATCCTCCGTCTCAGCTGCCGCCCGCTGTCACCGCCGTCTCTTTTCTAACCGCTCCATTCTCCGCCGCAACAACTGGAGGCCACTCCTTGCTGCTTCTTCTCACTCCTCTCTTCGCTTCTGTTTTTATAACAAACATTTCAGTTCTTTATCCGTACGCGCCGTCGCTTCTCCTCCTACACAGCCTTCTTCAGGTAATATTTTCCTTATATATATATATATTTGCGATTATTCTTCTAACCTAAATGAAATGAATTGAAGCGATTTTTTTTTTTTTTTTGCTTCTTGTCTAGATATTGCTGGAGTTGAAGATGAAGTTGCGGCGAAGCTTGGATTCGAGAAAGTATCGGAGGAGTTCATCGGAGAGTGTAAATCAAAAGCTGTTCTTTTCAAGCATAAAAAAACTGGTGCGGAGGTCATGTCCGTTTCAAACGATGATGAGAACAAGGTTTTCGGAATTGTTTTTCGAACTCCACCGTAGGTTCTTCCTTCTTTTACAAATTCCCTTTTTTTTAAAAAAAAAATTTATTAAGGCTTGAGCATAGTATTTCATGTACTACTTTAACTATAGTCTATATTTGATGTTTCGAGAAAATGCTTTATTCATGTTTAACTCAGAATTGGAATTGGAATTGGTAATTGTGGGGTTCTTCGATCCAGTAGTCTGAATAATGATGTTTGACGTTTAGAAAACTGGTATTTGATGATTTGCATCGATAGTTGCGTGAGTTCTTATGATCTGCTACATGTCAATGCAGAAAGGATTCCACTGGGATTCCTCACATCTTGGAACACAGTGTCTTATGTGGCTCAAGAAAATATCCGTTAAAGGAACCATTTGTTGAATTGTTAAAAGGGAGCTTGCACACTTTTCTGAATGCGTTCACTTATCCTGATAGGACTTGCTATCCAGTTGCTTCCACTAATACAAAGGTAAAGCTTTTGCTTGTGATAATATTGAGAAATGGGCCAAACATGGGGCAGTCTATTACACGGTAGCATGCAAGATAGCGCCAATAATAAAAGAAAAATAGTGTGGTTTGGGGGGGGGGGGTCTGAGCAATTATAACTGACGACCCAATGGGATCTCCTTCCCTGCTCCTCCCACTACTGATGCACACATGTGCAATGTGAAAACAAAAATATGAAAGAAAAAAAATAGTTAGAGAGTTGTTATAATGAAAACTTTAATTTTCTTAAGTTTCAGTTTTTGATGTGGTTTGTATTTTCTAAACAGGATTTCTATAATCTTGTTGATGTATACCTGGATGCTGTCTTCTTCCCCAAGTGCATTGAGGACTTCCAAACTTTTCAACAGGAGGGTTGGCACTACGAGCTCAATGATCCTTCAGAAGATATAACTTATAAAGGTTTGCATGTGTGTGTGTGTGTTTATACTTTATGCACTCATGACTTTAGCCTTTAGAATCCCCTGCTTGTGTGTCTAACATTCTTTTTCCTTTTTCAATGTTTGCTAGTCCCTTCATTGCTCTTGATAACATTTTCTTTTTCCTTTGTGATTTCCTGTAGGTGTTGTTTTCAATGAGATGAAAGGTGTCTATTCTCAGCCTGATAATTTATTAGGGCGGACAGCTCAACAGGCAAGTTTTCCCTTCTTTTCTTGCTTATTTTTGCATTTCTTTCATTCTGGAATATACTGCTTATATATTAATTAGCAGCTTATATCATATTTAAAATGCTCATGATTTGAGTGTAAAAAATATTTAAATTCTCGCGGCTAATTTAAAAAGCTTCCACCCCCCTCTCTCTGACATGTTTTCTTGTGTGTGAAGGAGTGTAAAACATCTCTCGTGTATTAATGACACTTAGCAAGGAACTTTGATAATTTCATCCTTTTTCTATTTACAATTATTCCTTGTAACTTCCGTGCAGGCTCTCTTCCCGGACAATACCTATGGTGTTGACAGTGGGGGTGATCCAAAAGTTATTCCCAAGCTGACATTTGAAGAGTTTAAGGTATGCTGCATTTATTACTTTGATAGACATGTTCTAGTGTTTTGATCTTCTAGTGGTGCATGATGAGGCATTTTATCTTGGTAAAGAGTACAATTTCTTATGTTTGAAACCTAGACTACATCAATCTGAGCTTCATGCTACCTAACTTATGGAAAAACTCCTTTTTGGGGGGTGAGGGGAGGGTTAGGTCATTTGTCAAATGGTATTCACATTTTTTTTTCTCGAAGTAAAACTTATTTTACAAAGAAGTTTAATTCTAACCTGGAATTGCAATTTTTTACGGTGGTATGTCTATAGTGTCTATTTCCATGTGTTGGAGATGCAAAGTGGGGCTTAATGGGATTTGAAAATGGAAGGCTTTATAAACCCTTGTTGCATGTTAGAATTGTTGGCCTGTTTACATGACAATTTTATAGGCTTATTGCAAATGTGATTCTTCTTAGCCTCTTGATGTTATAGTTCCAAAATGAGATGGCTTATGATGTCTCTTGTATTTAGTTTTCTGTTTCAACTTCTTCTGGTTGGAAGGCAAAATTATTGGTCTTTTTCTCTAAGTATGGTGTGTGCTTTGGTGTATGCTTTTATCCTGGCTCACCTGTATTCTGCATAGGTACTTGTGCATGTGGGGAATGAACAAATGTGTTTATGTCTGTCTCATTAGCGTTGTTGTTGGTAAATATGGTTTTCTCTTGTTTTATGAATTGAAATTACAGGAATTTCACCGCAAATATTACCATCCCAGCAATGCCAGGATATGGTTTTATGGAGATGATGATCCATATGAACGCTTGCGTATCCTATGTGGTAATAAATAACATTGCAGTTTTTGTTTATGTATGGATATCTGATATTTTGCTTAATGTATAACCCCTTATATCCCTTGAAATATGTGGATGACTCTGTTCAAAAGGGAAGTGGTGCAGAGAAGAGTTGCATATGGGGATATTGTAGAGAAAAGAAAGAATAGTCTTTGAAAGCCTTGCCAGCTTGGCCAATTAAATGACAAAGTGAAGCCCCATAA